CGCCGCAAGTCCCTTCCCACCCTGGTTTCTCTATTCAGCGACGCAAGTCACAGGGACCTGGAATTCCGAAAAGGTCCTCATCGGGGTATACGCAATCGTAAAAACGGGAGCTGCGTACATTGGAGAAGGAGGTGGCGGATGCGCAGGAGGATGAGCAGGAGAACAAGGAGGATGCGAGGAAGACGATGAGACGATGAGGAACAGCAGCAGCAGGAGCTGGAATGGAAGCAGCGGGGGGAGCAGGAGGACCAGGGGAATGCGGAGGAGGGGAAAGGAGGAGGCGACAACGATGAGAAATGACGCGCGTCCAGAAAAGTGGCCCGCGCTCGGGCGAGAGCTCCATTCAGAACGACGGGAGCAAAGCGCCGACCCTAAAATGAGGTCCGCGCTGCAGCGGGATCACTGTGAAACACAGGGAACGCGCCGATTGGAAACAGCAATCGGACACCCTGTTGGCCATATTGAGTGTGACTTGGGGTCGTCGTTTGGCCGTCTTGGGCCCTCGAAAAAGGGGGCCTTCAAATTTCGTCCTGGGTCCCTTTCCGTAGCCATGTTGGCTCAAGACACGTTTGCTTAAGCTTTTGAAGCGTGTGCCAATCGAAACGCAGATTCGATACAAGTATAGTTACTTGTCTTTGTGATCACGATGGCGCATGCTGTTTTTGTTATGTTGCTAGTAGCGCTTTGTGGATTCGAGGCGTCTGCAGCGGCAGCAGGAGTGTACTCGTTTGAAACCTATGCAGATCAGGCGTGCTCAGTTCTGGCGCAGACCGAGTATGTCAAGGACGTGTCAGGATCTGCTGACTGCTACGTGTACACGGGTGCCGATGGCGACGTGGCCGACGGTGCTTCGAGCTTCACTTTGACCTGCAACCCTGGCCCTGCCGATTACGCAGAGTACGAGAGTGAGAATTGCACGGGCTCTGGCGTGTCCTCTGGGACCGATCCTTGGTTCACAAAAACCATGTGCACGTCCAAAGGTCTCTTCCGGCTCGGACTGAACCTTGATTCAGAAGACATTGGGACTCACGTGGAGATGCTGGTTCATAGCGCTCAGGATACGTCGTGCTTGAAAGCGCGTGTCCCAGTGCAGTGATCCGTCGCAGTGGTGGCGATCGGAACCCAACGGACGGCACTCACAGGGGGTTCAGCATGTTCGACGGCGTATCCAGCGCTGTGACGTACCACGACGGTTTGGCACTCGAGAGTCGCTGAGGGTCCAGAACCCAGAATCTTCAAGCATCAAGCATTTTTTGCTGAAGAACAGATATGGGGACGACTGCTCGACGAATTCGTGTGCTTTGAATCGGTTGGGATATTTTCCCGGAAAGGGCTCGAGCCCAGGGTTCTCTTTTAGTAGGTAAACCTGTCCCCCGGTGCCTGCTTGAAGGAGGCCGGCGAATTGCCGGCGAATTTTTTCCCTGATAAATAACGAGGTCGAAGGAGGCCGGCGAATTGCCGGCGAATTAAAATCTGAGGATGTCTCGAGCGAAACGCTTGTTTTTCAGAAAATGGTGAGGATGTCTCGAGCGAAACGCTTGTTTTGTGTTATAGATTGTCCTCTTTGGGGACCTGAATTCTGAGGACCACCTCCCAGCACGACCACTCCCCCAGCACGACCACCCCCCAGCACGACCACCCCCCAGCACGACCACACCCCAGCACGACCACTCCCCAGCACGACCACACCCCAGCACGACCCCACCCCAGCACGACCCCACCCTAGCACGACCACCCCCCAGCACGATCACACCCCAGAACGACCACACCCCAGCACGACCCCACCCCAGCACGACCCCACCCCAGCACGACCACACCCCAGCACGACCACACCCCAGCAGGACCCCACCCCAGCACGACCCCACCCCAGCACGGCCCCACCCCAGCAAGACCACACCCCAGCACGACCACACCCCAGCACGACCTCACCACAGCACGACCACACCCCAGCACGACCACGCCCCAGCACGACCACGCCCCAGCACGACCACGCCCCAGCACGACCTCACCACAGCACGACCACACCCCCGCACGACCACGCCCCAGCAACGATTTTCCCGGAAGAGGGCCTGGGCCCTATGGGTTCTCTTTTAGTTGGTAAACCAATCCCCCCCGGTGCCCTGCATGAAGGCGGCCGCGAATTGTGCCGGCGGATTCTTTCCCTGATAAATATCGAGGTCGAAGGAGGCCGGCGGATTACAATTTGAGGATGTCTCAGGCGAAACGCTTGTTTTTGAAATCCCGATCGATAAATCACAGGGTGCGGGACACCTCAGCACGACCACACCCCCAGCATGACCACACCCCAGAACGACCACGCCCAGCACGACCACGCCCCAGCACGACCACACCCCAGCACGACCACACCCCAGCACGACCACACCCCAGCACGACCACACCCCAGCACGACCACACCCCAACACGACCACACCCCACCACGATCACACCCCACCACGACCACACCCCAGCACGACCCGATCGATGAATCACAGGGTGCGGACCACCCCAGCACGACCACACCCCAGCACGACCCCACCCCAGCACGACCCCACCCCAGCACGACCACGCCCCAGCACGACCACACCCCAGCACGACCACACCCCAGCACGACCACACCCCAGCACGACCCCACCCCAGCACGACCCCACCCCAGCAAGACCACACCCCAGCACGACCACACCCCAGCACGACCTCACCACAGCACGACCACACCCCAGCACGACCACGCCCCAGCACGACCACGCCCCAGCACGACCACGCCCCAGCACGACCACGCCCCAGCACGACCACGCCACAGCACGACCACACCCCAGCACGACCCACCCTAGCAAGACCACACCCCAGCACGACCACACCCCAGCACGACCTCACCACAGCACGACCACACCCCAGCACGACCAGCCCCAGCACGACCACGCCCCAGCACGACCACGCCCCAGCACAACCACCCCCCAGCACGACCACCCCCCCAGCACGACCACACCCCAGCACGACCACCCCCCAGCACGACCACACCCCATCACGACCACTCCCCAGCACGACCACACCGCCTTGGTTGAGTGGTTGCCTGTCGTCGTGGAATGTTTCGTGGGGTGTCTCGTGGAATGTTTCGCGGGGTGTCTCGTGGAATGTTTCGTGAGGTGTCTCGTGGAATGTTTCGTGAGGTGTCTCGTGGGATGTTTCGTGAGGTGTCTCGTGGGATGTTTCGTGAGGTGTTGCCCCGTTGGGTATCGTGAAAACGTGCCCATGCTCCACATGTCTATATCCCTTTCCGGGTTCGTGGGTCCATCATGTTTTCCCGGAAAGGGCTGGGCCCAGGGTTCTCTTTTAGTAGGTAAACCTGTCCCCCGGTGCCAACTTGAGGGAGGCCGGCGAATTTTTTCCCTGATAAATAACGAGGTCGAAGGAGGCCGGCGAATTAAAATTTGAGGATGTCTCGAGCGAAACGCTTGTTTTTGAAATCCCGATCGATAAATCACAGGGTGCGGGCCACTTTTTCGTGTGTTGAGGATGTCTCGAGCGAAACGCTTGCTCCGCAGAGTTTTGCCGAGGATGTCTCGAGCGAAACGCTTGTTTTGCAGAGCCGACCGCGACGCGGAAAAGCGCCCCGCGCGAAGGAATTTCGATGATGTCTCGACTAATTCCTTTGTTTTTGTACGATTTCCTGGAATTTTGGCAGGATGTCTCGAGCGAAATGCACGACCCCACCCTAGCACGACCATACCCCAGCACGACTACACCCCACACGACCAGACCCCAGCACGACCACACCCCAGCACGACCCCACCCCAGCACGACCATACCCCAGCACGACCACACCCCAGCACGACCCGACCCCAGCACGACCCTACCCCAGCAAGACCACACCCCAGCACGACCACACCCCAGCACGACCTCACCACAGCACGACCACACCCCAGCACGACCACGCCCCAGCACGACCACGCCCCAGCACGACCACGCCCCAGCACGACCACCCCCCAGCACGACCACCCCCCAGCACGACCACACCCCAGCACGACCACACCCCAGCCCGCACGACCACACCCCAGCACGACCGCCCCCTCCCCCAGCAATGCCCCCCCCCAGCACGACCACCCCCCAGCACGACCACACCCCAGCATGACCACCCCCAGCGCGACCACGCCCAGCACGACCACGCCCCAGCACGACCACACCCCAGCACGACCACACCCCAGCACGACCACACCCCAGCACGACCACACCCCAGCACGACCACACCCCAGCACCAGACCACACCCCAGCACGACCCGATCGAAAATCACAGGGTGCGGACACCCAGCACGCACGCCCCCACATGACCACACCCCAGCACGACCACGCCCAGCACGACCACGCCCCAGCACGACCACACCCCAGCACGACCACACCCCAGCACGACCACACCCCAGCACGACCCACCCCAGCACCCACCCCAGCACGACCCCACCCCAGCACGATCACACCCCAGCACGACCCCACCCCAGCAAGACCACACCCCAGCACGACCGCACCCCAGCACGACCTTACCACAGCACGACCACACCCCAGCACGACCACGCCCCAGCACGACCACGCCCCAGCACGACCACGCCCCAGCACGACCACGCCCCAGCACGACCACGCCCCAGCACGACCACCCCCCAGCACGACCACCCCCCCAGCACGACCACCCCCCAGCACGACCACCCCCCAGCACGACCACACCCCAGCACGACCACTCCCCAGCACGACCACACCGCCTTGGTTGAGTGGTTGCCTGTCGTCGTGGAATGTTTCGTGGGGTGTCTCGTGGAATGTTTCGCGGGGTGTCTCGTGAAATGTTTCGTGAGGTGTCTCGTGGAATGTTTCGTGAGGTGTCTCGTGGGCTGTTTCGTGAGGTGTCTCGTGGGATGTTTCGTGAGGTGTTGCCCAGTTGGGTATCATGAAAACGTGTCCATGCTCCACATGTCTATATCCCTTTCCGGGTTCGTGGGTCCATCATGTTTTTTAGCTTTCCTCCAAAAAGTCCCCCTGGAGGTCCAACCATTCCAGAATCGCGCCGATGAGGAGGCCCTTCATGTTGCCGCCTTCGCCCCGCCACTTGGACGGGCGCGATGGGCGAGGCTCGCGGAATGCGACGCTTCGTCTGAGTGGAGGCGCTGCTCCTCCCAGGTCTTTTCGGTTGGTTCTCGGATTCAGCTCGGGTTCTAGACCTTGGTCTCGGAAAAGGGTCGGTTCCGCATTGGGTTGCGAGAGATTGAAGCGCAGCGAATTCGTAGATCCATCACATCGGTGATTGACCAGCACGTAGAGGAGGTTAGGTAGATCAACCGGCGAAGGCGCCTGCAAAGTCAATTCGAATTCTAGATTCCGTCGGTTCATATTTCGGCGCGATTGCATTCTCTGTGGCCAATGACGTGGGACAATTAATTGGCGCTCGTCGCCACTTCCTCTCCCATTTCCGATAAGACGCTGGAAGAACAAAAATAGCTTGGCGAAGGACCCAACCATATGCAGTTGTGAGTACCGCAGTTGTGGCTATAGTCTTCGGTGGAGCTCACTATGGGCCACGAAACGTTGAATTAGGCGGGGGAGAGAGGGAGGGAGGGAGGGAGGGAGGGAGGGAGGGAGGGAGGGAGGAAGGAAGGAAGGAAGGAAGGAAGGACGGAGGAAGGACGGAGGAAGGAAGGAACGCGGGGCGCTGTCTCTTCAAAACGACGTCCCAACACCACAGAATGGTTGGGAAACAAATGTCGTCCTGGGTCCCTCCAGAGGCCTTCTTGGGCCGTCTGGGAGGCCTTCTCGGGCCATCGTGGGGTTCTCTCGGGCCATATTGAGGGCTCTCTTGGGCCGTCTTGGGGCCATCTTGTAGGCCTCGTGGGCCGTCTTGAGCTGCCAGCAGCCCGAGAATCTGAGCATGCGAAAATCAGTCGACGCCACAAGGAAGGTCCATGCTTGGGGCCTCTTCGCACCCTGATGGGCGTCCTCGCGTGGCCCCTGTGGGATCTCTCGGAGGCACCTGGGGCCGTCCTGGGGCCCCGCGGGGCCGCCCTGGAGTCGTCCTGGGCCCGCGGGAAGTAACAAGAGCTGAGCGTGCGCTCGCACGTGGACGAAGTTTCACACACACCTTGAGACGCCTCGAGCCTACCTTGGGAAGAAGAAGAAGAAGGGCCGTCTTCGAGGCACCCGTGGGCCACCCTGGTCGCCCCGCTTGCCTGCCGGGGCCGCCTCGGCAGCTCGGGGCGCGGGCGCCCGGCTTGAAGGAAGGGTCGTGGCCTCGGACGCGCGGATCCATACACGTGGTTCCTCTCTGGTGCTTCGAGAGTTCTTTTGATTCCTCAGGCTTACGCCACATCCGCCGACCCCTTGGATTTTCCCTGGGATCGTTCACCACAGCTTCCTTGCAAACCGTGGGAAAATGAGGCTGTTCAGGGCCCGTCACAGCGAGAAGGGGAGCCGACATGGGTCGCAAACTGGCCCAGAGGGCTTCCAGACGGGTTCCGACATGGGTTCCTTTCTAGTGTTTCGAGAGTTCTTTTGATTTTTGGGGGGGCCAAAATCCTGCCAGGTCTGATGCTGCTGTCCTGGGCCTCGTCCTGGCCACCGGAACAATCAGAACCGAGCACACTTAGACATGAGTGCGGTGAGAATTGAACGACGTACACTTTTTCCCGGAAAGGGCGTGGGCCCAGGGTTCTCTTTTAGTGGGTTTACCTCCCGGTTTTTACTTGAAGGGGGCCGGCGGATTTCTTGTGCGATAAATTACGAGGTCGAAGTGGGCCGGCGGATTTCAATTGTGAGGACGAAGGCCATTTTTCGCCACCCCTCACGCAGATCGTGCTCTTGGAATTTTACTGCCTTTAAGGAAACCTCGATATTTCACAGGTGAAGTCCACTTTTTTCCGACATCGACTTTAAACGATAAAAGCGAGGTAAACGCGTTCGCTCGATAAATAACGAGGTACCGCGGCCTCCGGAACGGCGCTGGGAACGGAGTTTTGGATTCTTGAAGTTGCATAAGTTCGGAAATAGCAGAAATCCCAGTGTTTTTGGACCCTGACCCCGCGGATCTGCATGAGGGGTGGCACCGAATTTTAGAAATGTGGCAAATCCCTTGTGTTTTTGGACCCTGACCCCGCCGATCTGCGTGAGGGGTGGCGCGGAATTCCAGAAATGTTGCAAATTTCTTGAGTTTTCGGATCCTGACCCCGCCGACCTGCGTGAGGGGTGGCACCGAATTTCAGAAATGTGGCAAGTCTCATTTTTTTTCTGACCTTGACTTCGCCCAGGAGGGCCCAGGAGGCTCCAGGAGAGCCCAGGAGAGCCCAGGAGGGCCCAGGAGAGCCCAGGAGGGCCCAGGAGGACCCAGGAGGCTCCAAGAGGCACCAGGGGGCCCAAGGAGGGCCCAGGAGAAGCTCCAGGAGGCTCCAGGAGAGCCCAGGAGGGCCCAAGAGGTCCAAGGAAGACCCAGGAGGGCCCAGGAGCCCTTACGAGGGATCGTGGCCCTGGGAGCGCTGACGTAGCGTAATTTACGAGGGATCGTGGCCCTGGGAGCGCGGGTGTAGTCTAATTTTGAGGATGTCCCTAGCGAAACGCTTGTTTTTCATAATTTGTTGAGGATGTCTCGAGCGAAACGCTGGTTTTGCAGAGTTTGGGATGTCTCGAGCGAAACGCTTGTTTTCAGAACTTGTTGAGGATGACTCGAGCGCAACGCTGGTTTTGCAGAGCCGACAGCGACGCGGAAAAGCGTACCGCGCGCAGGAATTCCGATGATGTTTCGCGCGTGCGGCGTCCCGCGCGCAGGAATTTCGAGGATGTCTCGACTAATTCGTTTGTGTTGCGGGATTTCGTTGAATTTTGGCAGGATGTCTCGAGCGAAATGCTTGTCTTTCATACTTTGTTGAAGACGTTTCGAGCGAAACGCTGTTTTTTTTTGCAAAATATTCATAATTGGTTGAGGATGTCTCAAGCGAAACACTGGTTTTGCAAACTTGGGGGGTGTCTCGAGCGGGGGCCTCGTAGGGGGCCAGAATTCAGAGGATGTCTGAGGCAAAATGCTTGTTTTCACGTCCCGCTCGCATGAATTCCGAGGATGTCTCGCGCGTGCCGCGTCCCGCGCGCAGGAATTTCGAGGATGTCTTGACTACTTCGTTTATTTTGCCAGGATTTCCTTGGATTTTGACTGGATGTCTCGAGCGAAACGCTTTTCCCCAGCACGTTCCGTAGCGCGTCCCCTTGGCACGTCCCGCGGTGCGACCCCATGGCACGTCCCTTGGCACGTCGCTTGGCGCGTCCCTTGAGACGTTCCGCGGCGCGACCTCCTGGCATGTCCCCCTGTCAATTAGCTCTGGGGCAGCTACTATGTGTTCAGGCAGCTCGAGCTTAAGATCCAGATCAGTTCGGTCAGGACTCGGATGCAAAGGAGAACTCGATCCACGAGGCTATAGAGCAAAATCGCGCCATGGCACATCGCAATTCAGCACGGTGCAGCACAGCACAGCCCTCGGCAGGGTACATCAAAATCGATACAATCAGCATTGCAACCTGGCACGTTCCTTGGCACGTTCCGTGGCGCGTCCCGTGGCGAGCCCCCCTGGCACGTCGCGTAGCGCGTCCCCTGGCACATCCCGTGGCACATCCATTGGCCCGTTCCGTAGCGCGTCCTTTTGGCACGTCCCGCGGTGCGACCCCATGGCACGTCCCCTGGCACGTCGCCTGGCGCATCCCTTTGGACGTTTCGCGGCGTGTCCTCCTTGCATGTTCCCCTGTCAATTAGCTCTGGGGCAGCTACTATGTGTTCAGGCAGCTCGAGCTTAAGATCCAGATCAGTTCGGTCAGGACTCGGATGCACAGGATGACTCGATCCACGAGGCTATAGAGCAAACTCGCGCCATGGCACATCGCAATTCAGCATTGTACAGCACAGCACAGCCCTCGGCAGGGTACATCAAGATCGATACCTTCAGAATTGCATTTGTCCGTCACCCAACCAGATGTCTTTGAAAACGCTGCCATGTGTTACAGTTCTATATTCCTTTCCGGGTTCGTGGGTCGATCATGTTTTGCCAGGGTTCGTGGCCTCGGAGGCAGGTAGAGAAACGTTTTTTTTTTTCTTGGAAAGGGCGTAGGCCCAGGGTTCTTTTTCCCGGAAAGGGCGCGGGCCCAGGGTTCTCTTTTAGTAGGTTAACCCCCCGGCCCCCCTGCGACTTGGGCCGGCGAAATTATTCTGCGATAAATTACGTGCGGGAGTAGGGCCGGCGGAATTATTTTTGAGGATGTCCCGAGCGAAACGCTTGTTTTTCAGAATGTGTTGAGGATGTCTCGAGCGAAACGCTGGTTTTGCAGAGTTGGGGATGTCTCGAGCGAAACGCTTGGTTTCAGAATTTGTTGAGGATGTCTCGAGCGAAACGCTGGTTTTGCAGAGCCGACCGCGACACGGAAAAGCGCCCCTCGCGCAGGAATTCTGAGGATGTCTCGCGCGTGCCGCGTCCCGCGCGCAGGAATTTAGATTTCTTGGGATTTTGACAGGATGTCTCGAGCGAAACGCTTGTTTTTCATAATTTGTTGAGGATGTCTCGAGCGAAACGCTGGTTTTGCAGAGTTGGGGGATGTCTCGAGCGAAACGCTTGCTTTTCAGAATTTGTTGAGGATGTCTCGAGCGAAACGCTGGTTTTGCAGAGTTGGGGTATCTACATGGCGTCGGGCCCAACGCCGGATTATGAGGAAAAGTGATGGCTTCTTGCTCTGAACAGGGGGGTGCGCTTTGAGGGCCTCTCCAGGGAAGACGTTGTGAGGATGTCTCGAGCGGGAGCGCGAATTCAGCGTATCCAAGTCACGCAGAGGGGTATCTAACATGGCTGTCCCGAGCTGGTACCACGTGTTTTTTCATGCTCAGGCCACCTCAGGGTCAGATCTCTGGCTGTCCCGAACCACGTGTTTTTTCATGCTCAGTCTCTAACATGATTGCCCGAGCTGGAACCACGTGTTTTACGTGCCCAGGCCACCCAGGGGGTATCTCTCATGGTTGTCCCGAGCTGGCACCGTGCTTTTACGTGTCCAGGCCACCGACACGACGCTTGTCCCCAGCACGTTCTGGAGCGCGTCCCTTTGGCACGTCTCGCGGTGCGTCCCCGTGGCACGTCCCCTGGCACGTCGCCTGGCGCGTCCATTGGAACGTTCCGCGGCGCGTCTTCCTAGCATGTTTCCTTGTCAATTAGCTCTGCGGCAGCTACTGCGTGGACTATGTGCTCAGGCAGCTCGAGCTTAAGATCCAGATCAGTTCGGCCAGGACTCGGATGCAACGGAGGACTCGATCCACAACGCGGTAGAGCACAATCGCGGCATGGCACATCGCAGTTCAGCACGGCGCAGCACAGCACAGCCCTCGGCACATTACATCAAGATCGGTACACTCACTCAGCATTGCAACTTGGCACGTTCTTTGGCACGTTCCGTGGCGCGTCCTGTGGCGAGTCCCCCTGGCACGT